ACTCTCAACACCAGTACTTTGCAAAAACCGGCACGTGCAAGTAGTTGTGCTCTACTGCTGCTTGACGAAATTGCAAAAACCTAATTAAAATAGACTTTAAATGCAGACTTAATGATCGCTGCTGCGTGCCTTGTGGAACGAATCTGAAAAAATGTAACCGCAGGGCGAATAACGTTAGGATGGTTTTGTTTAATGCTCAGATGATGCAGTTATTCATTTACGTGCATAGCTCTGTGTGGCTTATCTCAAGAATTGCTTGACAAAAAGCAATATGGGAATACTGTGATTGATTTCCTAACCTGTGTCGTTGTTTCTCAGTTTGTAGCCAATTTAGCACTGCAAAAGTCAGGAAGTTTTGAAATCTGCTGATGCTGCACTAACTGACGCCTGATTTCTCATAGATCAAATGGCACAGCTGATTGCTTTTCATGGATTAGCATTCATGGTGAGGAAGAGGTGGCGCAAGGGATAAAAAGGAAAACAAACATAGGTTTACAACCGGTGAGACACGTTCTCTCAATGCCATCGTGGACAATATTTTAAAACCCTGTTTCATGAGACTTATGATATGAGGCCAATCGAGCGGCACTGGCCTAGAATGACATACTTATTTTATTTTAAATGTAATACTACATCTAAATGGCACAGTGCATGTTCTCTTATATGGACAAAGTATATCACACAGTCCGTTGCATCCTTCCTCCACAGTGAAACACATTTATCTACTTTGTAAAGTTGTGAAACAGAAATTGGCCGGTATGGTTTCGAAGCCACGGTCTTTTGATTGAGAATCTGACTCGGTGCCAACAGAGGTACTTTCACTGGGGGGGGGCAGTCATGATGATTTGCTGACAAATAACTGAAAATCACTTACTGTGAATGTATCTGTGAATAAACCTTCAACGCATGGCTAAAGCGGTATCTGCAGAGAAGAGAAAAGTTCATAAATTTTGAAATGTCGGACATCCATACACTTCTATCATGGACACGATTTATGATGCCATTTTATCATGAAGTTCATTGCGCATTGACGACCGTCACTTCTTAGCCACAGGCAGAAATGCCATATTTTAGAGGACATTGTCTGCGCAATTAAAATTGTGCGCCTTCTGTCTCATTTCTGCTTAATGATACGTGTTTATATAACTTACGAGGATGAATGAAAGACAAATGAATAGGCTATATTGAAGCTTGTGATCTTTCGACTGCAGATCAGGTATTTTGGTTGTTAAATTATCTAAGGTACACAAGAAAACAAGAATATTAATTCACATTAACTTAATATTTTTTATAGAGAATTTCGTTTGTGCGTTGGAACTGAAAAACAGGATTAAACACGGACATTAACATGCAACGCAACAACCCGAAAATTCTAGATTGTTCAGACAGCAAGGAGACACCCAAGATGGTCAAAGTGTACCAGCATCATCAAAAAAAACTTGCCGCAGAGGCGTATTGAGAAGGAATCAATCCTCCAGTCCTGTGACAATGCCGACCTGTGTCAAAGGATAAAAGTTCCGCATAGATTGTAAAAGCCTTCTTGCCCCTGTCACCCAGAAACTATTTAACAAGTAGCATGGATCTGAAACTTGTGATCTGGCTCCAAACCTATCAACGACTACGGGCAACAAGGAAACCTTCGAAAACTTTACCAATCTCCTATCTGGAAGAAAGCTCGTTAGACATGAGCCAAAACGCCAGTAATGGTCAATCATCCGTTGGCATGTGTTTATTCATGTATTAATAAACGGTGTTTTATGCTGTTTCTGAATAACAATATTAATCTTTCAAACAATGACCTGAAAAAGTAGCTTAAGATCTTTCGCTGCTGTGACGACTGAATTTGCACCATCCGGCAACTGAGAAACAGCTTCTGACTTCTACAAATTATAACTTACAACTGTTCTAAACAGACGTAATGCTATGTTTCTATGAAAAAAGTGTTCTCACCTTGGAAAGTTACTGATATGGGCTTAGTCAACCGTGAGGACGAGAGATGTGCTAAAAACTAGTTGAAACTTTTCTCCCACTATCGAAACAAAAACTGACCTCAAATCTTCAAATTGGCCGCTTTGATTGAAACCTGAGTTAAACGGATTCCAAGTATGACAGAGTTCATAAGAACTCGCCGTTTCTGCTTGATAACAAAGCGACGGCATTGCCCTTTGTTTCTCCATAATTATACCGCAGTTTGTACCTCTGACGAAACTTGCGACACATAATGGCTGTTGCACGGAACCAAGCAGCCATGGTCATCAGCGTTCATTGTAATGTTGCGTTAGTAATGAGTGCTGACATGATCCATTGGGCACCAGAAGCCTAAGGTTTCTCGTAATTGTTGCTGGTCGGGTGGTGAACGGTGACTTTAGTTCAAAA